GTGCATCTCTCTGGGAATTTGTTTATAGTACGCCATTATATGCCTTGTTGTCACAGCAAAGGCCGCAGTGATGCTCTGCTCTTTCATTCCTGACTTCAGTAATTTAATTTAAATCTTCCTTCCTTTTTCTTGGCCTAGGTAAAAGTTTACAGATTTAGTTGATCTTTTTACAGCACCGAATTTTCTACTTGGTTAATTTTCTCTGTTATTCTACCCACTCACTAATGTACTCATTAATCTGGATATTTCCTTCCTACCGCTAATCTCAGGTTTAGTTTGCTCTTCTGTGGTGTCTTACTGTGGAACTTACTTGTAACACAGTCACTGCCAGCCACCAGCTTTCCTCTATGCGCTGCTGTGTGTGGCTGCATTCTGTATACTGGGGTCGTCATGCTGGCATCTGCATTCACTTCAAAGTATTTTATACTTTCCCTGTAACTTCCTGTTTGACCCACTGCTTCTGCTTTGTTTGTTGGTTGCAGTACCACGGATTGAATCCAGAGCCTTCCCACAGAGCTCCGTCCACAGCCTTTTCTTCTTTTTGACACAGGTCTCTCTAAATTGTGCAGCTGCCCACGCTGTGTTTGAACCTGCAGTTCTTCGTGAGGGCAGCATTCTGTGTCTTCTCTGACAACGTTGCTGTTTTATCTTTCATCTGTAGACCACATCCACCTGGAGCTCACTGTGGGGCGGGGGGTGCTATGAGGTAATCTTTTCCACATGGATACCCTGTTAATCCAGCACACTGGTCAGAAAGACTGCCTCTGCCCAGACTACCCTGCCTCCACCAAGTGCCAGCCCGCGCGACGGTCTAGTTCCCTGCTCTTCATTCCGCTGCTTCACTTAACAGTTTTTAAATTCCTACCGAGACGGCTGGCTGATGATCTTTATGAATAGTTATTTAGTACCCAGGGCACAGTTTATTTAGAGAAAGCAGGTGAGTGCTTGGCTTTTACCTTTTGTTTGCTTTGTTTAAAAATTAGATTCAGTGGTGGGGATGTAGCTCAGCAGCACAGCGCCTGCCTGGCGGGCGCAAGGCCCGAGTTCAATTCCCAGGACAAAAAAAAAAAAAAAAGATTCGGCTTAGCAGCATCCTCCAGAGACGGTCACCGGCACTTTAGTGTCATTATAAATTCCTGTGTTAACACAACTGCTATGTTTCAATCAAGTGCCCTTACTATTTATTCACATTCGGACCGTCCCAGCCTTGGGAGCCTCTTTGGGTTGACTGGGAGTCATCCTGACCTATAATCTCCCCTGCACCCCCTTGTGTCTGCAGCAGTAGACAGTAGACAAATGGGAACTCTCTTCTCAGATAAAAATAACCCCACCGGGCTGCGGCAGTCTCAGAGGGACAGCCACGTTCAGGGGCAGGAGGTCCTAAACCCACCCATCGCGGGACCATCTTGAGGGTTACACTAAGAAACCAACACAGGGGTCGGGAAGGAAAGGGACAGCAGAAGGAGGACACTAGAGTGGTCCGAGTGACTATGCGTGGAAACTTGCTCCGTGCCAGAAGCTAGTGCGGCTCACTAAGGCGTCTGCCTACTCAGTCCGCGCAGTGATCACGCCGCCTGGGAGCAACTTTTGACCCCTCTGTAGACGGGGATGAGGGTCTTCGCAGACGTCTTAGGGTCTCCTGCACCGGCACCGGCACCGGCGGGGAGATGCACGCTGCTGTGGCTCCGGCCGGCCGGCCTGGGGCGCCCCCGAGGGCGCGGTCCCCCGGGCCCCACCCACATCCCTTCACCCTGCCGCCGCCTCCCTACAGCGGGAGCTCCCACTGAGAGACCACCTAACAGGAGCTGGACAGGTGCCTCGCTATTCTCTCAGTCACCCCTGCCTCACCAACGAGGAGCAAGAGGAGGAGGCTGTTTTGCAGGGGTCACAAGGCCAGGCAGGGAGGGCGAGGCTGGACAACCTCACTCCTGACCCTCTACCGCCCTCTGCAGGGCCCAGGCCCGCATTGCCGCGCTCAGCTGGGCCCAAGGTTCACCAGGCTTGGCCAACTTCGGATGTGGAGGGGGCGGGGCCTGCACAGGAGGATGGGGTGGGCGCGGGGGTCCTTGATCTCACGCCGAAGGCCGGCGTGGTGACACGCCTGTAATTACAGCGCCCTGGGAGGCTGAAACCGGAGCATCACAAGCTTGAGCCAGGCCTGGGCAACTTAGTGAGATCCTGTGTAAAAAAAATTTTAAAGGGCAGATGTAGCTCAGTGGGAAAGCCCTGAGTTCAGTCTCCAGTAACACACATGCACATGCACATGCACACACACACAAACACACGCACACGCACATACCAGAGAGCCCCTTAAAATCGCAGCAGTCAAAATACACGTTACTTTTGCTTTGGAGGTCGCTTTGGGGAAAACTGGTGTTTACTTTAGTAGCATTGCAAAACAACAAAGTAGCATCCTGTTTACAACTTTTGGATAACCCAGAAAAAGTGTGTGGAGAGAGGACACGCAAGAGAGCACACACGTTTAAAATTATAGTAAACGTTTAACAGTTGAAATTTGAGACAGATAGGTGGAAACTTCTTTATACTATTCTTACAATTTTTCTCTAAGTCTGAAACTTCAAAATAATTGCACCTCTGTGGTGAAGAGGGAAAACATGAGAAATGGGGTGTGAGAAGGGTGGGGGGCACAGGAGGGCCATCACAGACATCTGCCACACAAAGACGAATCAGATCCAGTCTGTGGGGTGCAAGGAAAGAGGCTTGGAACTGGGCAGAGGTACCGAGAGGCACAGATCACTCTGCATCAGCCGTCACCAAGCACCCATCCTAGGCACCAGGGCCGAAGAACCGGGCCACACAGCCGCAGATGAGCAGTGGCCAGAGTGAGACTTCACCTGCAGCCACTTCCTGTCACTCACGTTCCCAGCAGTGCTTTAGGGTCTCCTGCCAGCGTGAAGCCACTAGGAAGCTCACGTGCTAGGCTTGCAGGTCACTGGCTCATTTATGAGAACCTAACCCGAACCAAAGCCATCCCACAGCTCATGGCAAAACTATCCTCTGCAAAACCACCCCTGGTGCCAAAAAAGTTTGGGGATCACTGCTCTAAAGCCTGGCACCAGAAGTGTCATCTCAAGGGCTGCTCCAGCAGTGTGTGAACCAGCTGAAAGGGAAGAGGACTGCCAGGCACTGGACTCACGGAGGGAGTTTTAACCACTGTTTCTCAGCCACTGCCACATAACCCTGGAGGCTGGCTGCCTGTCTGCCTAGAACACCCTTGTGTGGGTAACTGTGGGCTCCCTCTGCAGCCCAGAGGTGTGTGCATCTGCCCACAGCTACCCTGGCAGTGACCCTTCTCACCCTGTATAGAATGACAGCCTGAGCCAGGCGTGGTAGCACACACCTGTATTGCCAGCACTCTGGGAGGCTGAGGCAGGAAGATCACACATTCAAGCCCAACCTGGGCAACTGTGACTTAGTGACACACTGTCTCAAAATAAAAAGTAAAAAGGAAAGGGGGTCTAGAATGTAGCTCAATGTGAAGACCTGGGTTCCATCCCCAGTGCCAGAAAAAAACGAAGGGAGGAAGTCAGGAAGAAGGGAGAGCCTCACCCCATCAGCCCTCCCTGTTCGCCTCTCCTGGTCACATTTTTCTCCATCCCACACTACCTTTTTAACACGTTTGTGGTCCCCTCCTAAAATGAGCTCCATGAGGACAGGGACTCGACATGTAACAGCATCTATCAAGCCAAGGCTTTGTTGAATGTGTGGGATCCTAAGGCTGTGTTCAGAATCCCTGAGGTGGAAGGGTCGCCACTGCCATGGGTGGCCTCACAGTGATCACATAGCTATCCCAAGCCTGGACCAAAGAATCAACCTTCAGCAGGACTGCAGACTTCAGGACCCCCACTTCTCTAGCACCCCCATGAACCCGGTACAAAATCAAGTGACAGACCAGAAAAATGACTACTGTCCTGTTTCTCTTCAACCCTGGAAACTGGTGGCTTGAAGTCTGGTTTTGTTGGGTTTAGGAAAGTAAGCACAGTCTTGAGTGTGGACACGGAATTCGTTCCAGAAGACACCACACTGGGTCCTTCTATAGAGCCCCCTGCCCAAGGAGGCCTAAGACATTAGCCCTGGCCTGGCTGGCCACTTACCCCAGGAGTTCAGACTTGGGCACACTGTCCCCCAACCTATCGAGGCAGGAAGCATATCACCAGAGGCACCATGGGGCTCCTTGAGGAGGGGCTGGTGATGATGAGAACTGTCAGGTTAGCACGAGTTAGGTGGGCTTCGGGAGAAGGAGAACACCAAACAAAATGACACACACGAAGGCCAGGAGGCAGTTCACCTGAATAAGGCAGGACAAGCACAAGGCCAGGATGCACCAGGTGCTGACCAGCTTATGGGAACTCCCAAAAACCGCATGGACTTTGAGTGTATGTGCTGCGAAGCCTAAAGTAACTCAAGGCACCGAAGGGTCCTGAGCAGGAATGGACTGGCAGAGGCAGCCTCGCTGCAGGGAGACTGCCGGGGGCTACCACTGATTCTGCTAAGAGGAAAGCACCCAGCCTCCGTGGCCAGCAGTCAGGACCAATGCGAAGGCTGCTCAACAAGCAGAGTGGGCAGGCTGTGGGGCTGGTGAGCCTACTCCCAGCCAGCGCTTGTGCGGCAGAACAGACATGGGACAGGTGCAGAAAAAGCCTCTGATTTAGTTTTGCAAAGTGATCGGGAAGGGGTGTCATCATGGCCCGGGGCGGGGCAGAGGCAGCATAGGGTGGAAGGGGTGTGGCAATCGGGTCCTTGGAGCACACAAGAAGACCTGGGAGCCACTGCAGCCGGGACAGGGGCCGGGCTGAACGCTGCCATCTAGAGGATGGGCAGAGGAGCCAGACCCAAGCCAGGCACGAAACCAGGCAGCTGCGGGGCAGAGTGCCTAAGTGTCTCAGGAGGTACCGAGCAGTCATGGACTCCACAGTAGTGACCCACAGGTCAGCACTGCCTTCAAAATGCAGTCTCCCAACCATAAACCACACACGATCTAGAATTCAATATATGTTTATTTGTGTAGTAGGAACATTCGGATATATAAATAGGTAAATACTTTCCAATGTACAGTATATCATGTTCTTACAATGCATTGAAAAAGAGGCTATGTGTACTGTTCCACACGGATCAGAGGTGCACAGGAAAGGTCAGCTGTGGCAAAAACATGGATTTAAAAACACCAAGCTGGGTAAACAGCACAGCAGAGCACCCCAGCACACACCTATCTGGGGAAGCCCAGAGGACCCACAGGTCTGAGGACGAGAAAACCGTGTATCGGCACATAGACAATCCATGTGAGAAAGGGAACTCCACCTCTCCCTGCAAACAAGGGGGTGTGCTCCATCCCATCTCCCCAGCTCAGACTTTCCCTCCTGATTCGGAAGGTATTAAACATAAATAAAAATTAAATTTGGCATCAGCATCGACTCCAGAAGGTAATCCATGAGCTCCCAATCTCCTCTGATGCATTTCCTGAGCCATTTCCCCATGCCCACAAAAGACTTGGCTGGTCTCAGGTGGTCTGAACTCAGTGAGGGGCTCCTGGACCGTCCCCTGACCCGGCCCTCCAGCCAGTGCCCCCATGGCTTCTCAGAATCCCTCAGCAGACCACAGATCTCTGCCTCTCATCCCCTCACTGTTCTTACCTCCAAGTCCCTCGGTCTTCCTGGCCGTGGTGTCTGCTCAGCTCCTTCCCTATGTAACCAGCACCACACCCCCAGCCCTTGTGACAAGTCATAAACAGCTCACTGAAGATCAGTGCCACCTAGAGGACACTTCCAGAACCACGCGCACCTTCAGCCAGCTCAAAACACGAGGAACCCCTTTCTATCCTGATGTTCCTTTGAGAAGAGCCAGTAAAGCAGGACACAGACCAGGAGGCAGCTTCACTGGAGCAGGTGGCAGGTGCCAGCCCCTTTGTGTACCCTAGGCAAGGGAGATCCCAACACCAGGGGGAACACTGTCCCTGCAGAGCTTCCTAGAAACCTCTGCAGCCCTTCTCTGACTCCTGCCATTACTCAGTGATGACCTCTAGGTGAAAGGATATGACTTGGGTGCCTGAGGTGGGCCTCTGGGTTCCATGAACACCCAGGAAACAACAGGCAAGTCAGTCATTCTTTTACTGTCTCTCTGCACCTTAATCCTGTGGATCCTGTTGGCCAAAGCCATTCCTCTAACAGAGTCCTCACACACCCTTCCCAGTCAGAAAACTCAGAAAAACATTTGTCACTCTGGCTACAACCTGTCCTTTCCTCACTCACAAATCACTTTGACTCTTTGCTCTCCTAGCACCCAACAGAAACTCCCTATCTCACCTGTCCTCAAATCTTGTGCCTACTTTTAAGAAAGAGAAAAAGAAAGAACAGAAGACCCCAGGGAAGGTCAAAGGAAGAGGCAGAGACTCCAGGCTCCTGGTGAGTGATCTGCTTCAGAGCAGGTCCCATTCCCCCCTCTTCTGCAGAAGGCCCCTGAAATTGTCCACCTGCACAGCGCACTGCAGGCTTCTGAGCTGCGTGCACACAGCATGGCCCTTGGTCAGCGTGGGAGGAGCCCAGAGCAAGTCACAGGCCCTCGCTGTCCACAAAGTATAGTCGCCCCAGGAAGCAGAAACAGTGCGGGGGAGTCAGACCAGGCACACAGGAAGTGAGCACCTCGCTGGGGCAGGCCGCACTCTCAAAGTACAGACTCTGCACCCTCCCGTCCTTTTCCCCTACACTGTGTGAGGCACCAACGTGCCACACTGCTACAACTGCGCTGCTTCTTTTAAACACGATGATGTGGCTCGTGAACACCAGGCTGTACACAAGGTGTAGCACTATGGTGGCTGAGAACCCATCCTCTAACAGTATTCTAGTGTGAGTCAATGACCTGGAGAGCTTAATAAGAATGACAATCATGTGTTGTACGCTTACTATGTGCCAGGCACCGTGCTAGATGTTTTCATGCATTATCTCATTAAAGTCTTACTGCTATCCTTGGACTCGGGTAGGCAGGAGCAGGAGGCCAGGAGCCCAGGCCTGGGGCAGTGTGAGCCTGAAGTCCATCCGTGTTTTGCCACTGCTCTCAGCCTCCGGGGCAGGGCCTGTTTGCTCATCTGTAAAGTGAGCACAGTGCCATCTCATCAAAGGGTTTCTGGGTTGGAGGGAAAAATGGATGCAAACTCCTAGCGCTGCGGCTGGCACATATTAAGCACTGTATCACTGCAACCATTGATAGATTCACTCCTGGTGTTTCACTGGCTTGAGAATAAAGAGAAGGAGCCTGCAAATTGGCATCTGGTGAACAAGGACAGGACGGGACAGGGGCCAATGGATTTGAGCTGCTTGTCTTTGCGCATTCGGCCCCTCCATTCTCATAAACCACCCACACAGCCTAACCCAACACTGCACCCAAGTTACCTCGCAAACCGCCCTCAAAGCAGGAGGTCCTGGCCTTGGGAAGCATGGTCCCCGGGCAAACAGGTACAAGTCCAACCAGCTGAGAATAGCAGCACAGGTAAAGTCAACCAGAAAGGAGAGGCCTGAGGGACAGAAAGGTGGGCCACATTCAAGTGAAAACAGCAGCCAGGATGCCGCTGAGGGGCATGGGTAAGGGCAGGTGGGCCTAGCGGAGCCCCTAAGTAAGGGGCCTTCATCACCACTTGATCCAAACCCAGCACTGTAAGTGGCGAGGCCCTATGGAGGGAAACCGAGTCAGGAAGTGGGGGCTATCAACCTGCAAGCTGGGAATAGTGACAAGGGGAAAAGGAAGTTTGTTTGGAGTAAGATAAGGGAGAATGAGACTGTGCCCAAGGATCAGGCTTTTCCTCAGGAGTTGTGTCCCAATCACAGAGGCCCCAGCTCGCTGTATGAAGGTGCAGGTGCAACAGTCACCCATACACCCTCCCTCGGCCTTTCCTCTCCACCCTGACCTGATTCTAAGTGACTCACTCCACAGGTGTCCACACGAGTACGCATTCCTCTTTCTACTGCACAGAAGCAGTGTAAGAGAATGGTGGCCCGATGCCCACTACAACAGTGCCCAGGACAGTACTAAAGAGGGGTTTCAGCCACGGTCAGCCCTGAAGATCCACCCTGGGCTGGCTTCCTAAGGTGCATGGCTGCTGCCAGCCAGTCCCTGTGCGAGCCCCTAGCCAGGATATATGAAAGAACAGAAAAACAGGCAAGAAGTGATATACATGCAGAGTGCCAGCTGCCTTCCAGGGCTTCACCCTCAGGAGTAAAACACAAATTGCACTTGTTCAGTGATACCCGCCGTGAAGGGGGCAGCTCACACACAGAGATGGCTCTTCCCCATGAGCAGTCCCGAGCAGAACTCGCTGGGATACCAGGCTCGAGTTCCCACAATCAGCCCTGGTTCGTGGGGCTTCCCAGCTCAGCAGCTCCTTATTTGGCCAATTATGAGCTAACAGTTACTTAAGCTCCAGCCTGGCTCGGCCCGGCCTCCTGGGGCTCCTGAGCCTCCTGAGCGTAGGGAAAGAAACACTGCAGCATTTCGGGTACAAGTGGGGCTGGGGTCTCGCAGGTCCTTGTCCTTTGGGGGCAGTGCCAGACGGGGTGAGTCTGGCTCCCCTCACTGCCCCATGGAAGCCCTCCCCTGAGGTTATCTCAGAGGCTGATGTGAATGCATGGGATACAAACCAGAAAACAAAACAGAAATCTCTACATCAGGACTACACCACACTTATGAACACATCGCCAAGTGGAACACATCATGCCAGGCACAGAAGTGACAAATAATGCATGACAAGGGCAGACATGATTTTGGTCACATTTTATTTCTGACAAAAAATAAAAACCAACGGGTCTACAGCAAGTTATGCACGTCATTAAGATCTGCCCAGGTGCTTTAAGTAGTCTCTGGAACCTGCTCTGTGAGACACAAGGTGGCACTGCTACCCCGGCTACCCGACTGGGAAATTCTGCACTCCAGGAAATCAAGAAAACAGACAGACAGACAGAAACGGCCCACACTGCCTCTCAGGTCTCTTGCTGGCAGCTCCCAGGAGTGCCGAGATTCAGTTTCTCAGGCACCCGGCAGTGACCGTATCCACAAGGGATCAGTGAAGGTGGCCTTGTCGCAGAGTGGGTTTGATGCTGGGCCTCCCCAAGCCCCATTTCTCAAGAACTGCACAACAGGTCGATGGGAGACAAATGAGGTGCTTCTGGGTCCAAGTTCATTCCAGACAGAAAACAGCCTCACTGCTAATCACTGCTCAGGATGTGAGACATGAGTCATCTTGGACAAGGCCTAAAAGTGCTTCCTTCTGAGTGCCTGGGACATGGTTTAGTATCCACAGGAGACTGGTGGAATCACAGAGCCACACAGCTCAAAGACAACCCAGAGTGCAAGGGCCCTGAGAGGGAGGTTTCCTGCCCAGGGCCACAAAGCAGAAAGTGACACTCCCAGCACAACACTTATGAGGCCTTGCGTCTGAGAACGAAAAGCCCGGAGGTTGGAATGGAAGTAGCAGTGTAGAGAGAAGCTGCTCCAGGCCCATACCCATGGGGCAGCCTGCACAGTGACAGGGGCTCTGTCCCCTGTGGACCCTGCAGCCGTCCTGGATGCCAGGTTTCAGGAGGCAGTGTGACCAATTTAAAAACAAACACCACAAAAGTGTGCCTGATGAGGGCTGGCGGAGTTAGCTCTCACTGGCAATGAACACAAGCAGGACATGGAATGATCCGGCACTCTGAGTCCTCCCCGCTGTGCTGGGCTGACCTGACCAAGACCTAATCTGTCTTCCCAAAGCCAGTCTCACCCCTATAACCAGCAGGGGAAAAGTAAATCACAGTTTACACAAACAACCATCAAACAAGGTCCCCCAGTAAAACACACATTAAGTTTAAACTGGTCACATGATATAAAAAGTATGCATTTAATCTTCAGAATAATCAAGCTCTACAGGTTAGGTTTGCCATAGGTTTAAGCAAAACTTTGTGGCAAACAAGTCATAGTATAGTGAAATCCTTGTAAGAAGGAAGTGACTTTTAGAACACACATACACACGCACACACACCTCAAGAATAATGGATATACAACACAGCAGCTACGTGGGCATTTAGCGAAGGCCACGAGAACCAAAAGCCCCCTGCTCCCTGCATGTGGGGTCCTCTGTCCACCTCACCCTGCTCAGCAGCAGCAAGTCTTCAGCACAGACGCCCATGACCTCATCCCTGAAAAGACGTATTTCGCCGGACTGCCCACTAGGAGAAACTGGGAGAGGGCTTGGTTACAGTGCACTCTACTGCATACACTTGAAATATTACAGTGTGACTTTTTTCTCCAGATTATTATAAACAATTTTTCGTGCTTTCTGAAAAAATAAAACCTGAAATCTTGCCATCTGTAATAATGTAAGGTGAGCCCATACTACGCAGCACAGCTCACATACCCCCTGCAGGATTCTAGTACGGACACAGTGCTCTTCTGAACAGAGCTTCCATCCCTCCCTCCCACCCCACCAGCCTACAGAAAGTCGCCCTCTGCAGGTCCCAGCAAGGGATGACTAAGAAGCCCCCAAGGAGCTGTCAGCACCTTGGCCCATGTGGGAGAGGCCCCTGCATAGGTCAGGTACAGATCAGTGTCCACCACCTGGGCCCAGAAACAGTCCATAGACAGGGATGGAACCCCAAGCAGACATCATGAGCTGGGCAACACTGTCCTCCAGGCTGCTCAACCCTTCAGCTGTTTAAAAACTTCAAATGTAAACCCCTGTGACTTCTTTCCAACTCAGCTAGAGATTACTCACAACTCAAACCATAAACAGACTGTATATACAAATTGTTTTCAAAACCCACAAATAAAAAACACTACCTCCCCCCCCCCCAAAAAAAAAAAGAAGAAGAAAAGAAAAGCCAGGGAGTTGAAGCTTTTCACTAAGTCACAGCAGCTGGGCTTGCCTTGGAGACCTGCCCCATCCTCAGTCCTGCCCCTGGGCTCCGCCCCAGGCGGCCCCTACTCATTCTCTGCAGTGGCTGTCAGGATCCCCTTGTCCATCAGGTGAGACCTGAGTGTGTTGAAGATGTGGAGCTGCTGATCTGGCCGCAAGGTCAGGAACTGCTGAATCAGTTTGCTCGGGTTAGGGCCCCTGCAACACAATTGAAGATGTGGCTAGGAGCAGCCCCGGCTGCCCCCAGAGCTGGATTCCCCAAATGGTGGCTCTGACCTCTGGATTCTCTGCTAATGTAGTGGGGTCGGGGGTCTCAGAGAACCCATGGCCTCTAACAACTGAGAACTGTGTTCACGTCGGAGATGTTTTCATTGAAACTTGTATGGAGTCAAAATTCCAGGGATGCACTGTATATTAAAAACCCACTAACCTGGTTGAGGCAGAAAGGCATCATACCTGATAAAACTGGCGATGTACACATTGACGAAGGTGGCCATCAAATACTGGCAGTCAAAGCGATCCATGATGCCTCCATGGCCAGGAATGGTATTGGCAAAGTCCTGTTAGGGGCCAAGGAAGGATGGGTGAGCCCTGGCTCAGCCACAACCACATCCCAGCCTAGAGGTCCCAGCCCACAGCCATCTCCTGTGCTGGATATCGAAGGGCAGCAGGAAGAAGGGCTGAATCACAGACTATAATGTGACACACCCTCTTTCTTTTTCTTCTTTGTTTGTGTCTCACAGTGTAGTTCAGAGTAGCCTTACTCTTACTATGTAGACCAGGCTGGCCTCCAACAGACAGTGATTTCTGTCTCAGCCTCCTGAGTGCCAGGATTACAGACATGCACCACTGTGCCCAGCTCAGGACACATTTTTAATAAATTACAAAATGTTCTTTTGAAGAAATGCATATTTATAAAGTGAACCCCAACTACCGAATTTTTGTGGAAACGACATCTAGATCCAGCACACAGGTCAAGAAAAGTTCACTAAAATGAACAGTCAGGGAGCACAGCCTGGGAAAGTGAGGGCAGAGGCCAATGGGGTGTGGGTGGGGACATAAGACGAGCAGAAGGGAGCAAGACTGGGGAGCAGAGAAGGCTCCCCTACCTTGATTTTAAAGGCTCGCTTAAAGCCACTGGCGAAGAAGCCTCCAAAGGGGCCGATGAGCGAGGCGAAGGTGGAGAGGGCGATGCTGTGAATCTGGAAGGGATACATCCGGATAGTTTTCTGGAAGAGCAAGTGAAAGTCAGGTCAAGGTGCGCACGAGTCCAGTGTATTCCATGTTCACAGAAATAACTCTAGATCAAACCAATTATATGCGTGTTTTCAATCAGTGAGATGAGTATATTTCTTCCCCAGTCTTTTAAATCTAACACCTGACCTAATGGAAAACGTGAAGATACTGTGCTTTTGTGAAGATAGCTTGCTTTGGTAGAAGCATATAAAGAAACTCCAACCTTATACAGAAATGTAGCATTAAAAGGAAGAGTACTTTCTCCCTAGTGTAAGAAACAGTAAGAGTACATAAGAGTTTATGTTAATCATGATTCCCCATTACATGGCTTTGAAGCCTTATAATGATTACATTCATTAGTTGGAATGGGATTATCCTGGTTTGTTTGGTTTTATTATCTGTGATGATATGAACAGCTATTTTGAAGAAAACAAGTCATTATAATAGCCAGTGCTGATTTAACATCGTCTTACCCTGAAGTCCTACCTTGCTTTTGCTCTTCTGTTTCCATTGGTTCTATCATGTTGTATCTTATTGGATTGTATTATGTGTGATAGTATAAACACATTTTCTATGGAAAATGGGATAATATCGTAGCCATTGTTTGTTTTCTGTTATTTGGTTCTGAATGCCCTGTAATGCTTTCATTCTCTTGAATGGTTTTATACTATTTTGTTATGTTTGGTACTATTGTATGTGAAGTTATGCTCAACTATTTTAAAGAAAGAGACATTATGGTAGTTACTGTTAATTACAGGTTGTCTTATGGTGAAATACTGTGTTGCTTACATTGTTCTGTTCTGATCCGCTTTGTTATGTCCTGTTTTGTATTAATCCCTTTAAAATAAAAAAAATTTAAAAAAGAAAAAAAAGGAAGAGTACTTTAATAATCTCAAAAATCATACATATTGTTTCACACTGGCCTTTTTTTTTTCGTACCAGGAATCAAACTCAGGACCTCGTGCCTGCCTAGCAGGTGCTGTGCCACCGAACTGTAGCCCCAGCCCAATCACAGGTGTTCTTATTTGACACTATACCAGCGACAGACAAGTAGTTACTTATTAAGAGTGGCAAGCCAGTAGAAACTGAAATCCTACCAATAGGCTTTCTGTGCTCTCCTACATTAAAATCCATTGCTTTATCTTGCATTCTGAATAGATCTTTTACGCATGCATGACTATAGAACACTATGCACTTGTATTTTTTAAAATGCCTATTCACCAGATTATACAAATCTCCCTAATACAAATATAGTTCATGATACAATATTACCTGCTCCCATCACCACAGATCTCATCAGCAAAGCCTTTAGGGGTTAGTAAGCTGTCGAGCTCCCAGTGGTACACACTTTGCAAAGTTCTAATTTTCACTTGGAAGCCGTATTACAGGGAATAACTGCTGTCAGTCATTTCCCTTCAAGTGATAGACTCATTTCATTCTTTTCCCAAAAAAAGTGTCTGAAAAATACAAAATTCTAAAAAACTAATCAATTCTTTTCAAATCAAATTCTTTTCAAATAAAACTAATCAAATTCTTTTCAAATAAAAATAAAGTTCTTAGGAATAAAGAAAAACAGCTACTTTAGCTCACGATTCAATTGCACAAACCATGCTTTGGGATGTAGCAGGGATGTTTACTCATGCATTCCATTTCAGCACACAGGGATTAAATGGCATGTAAGTAAGGGTCAGGATTTAATACAATCAGTGCTTTTACTGTTTCAAACACATTGCTAAGAGGGCTGGCACACTTGCACGGGAGGACATGAAACGAAAGTGCGCTGCCGCTGGTCCAGGAGGTGCTGCCGCTGCTTCTGTGCCACCGCAGCAAAGGTCAGCAGGGAAACGGCACATGGGTCACAGGACTGTTAGGAAAACAGCTGGGACTTCACAGACCCGTCTGAAGGGATCTCACGAAATGTATTTTGAGAACCACAGGTCCAGCTGCCGTGAAGTGGGGGCAAAGGTCTCCTCCGGCCTCAACCTGACCTGGCAGGAACCGCTCCCTTCACCCTGGGCTGCCGGAGGATCTCCTCTTTGCTGTCTCCGTCCCCCATGTAAGTGCCACATACCCAGCCAAGAAGCGACTGGATCACCCCAGGAATGTTGTACTCCTGCAGGCGGAACAGGTCTGAAGGCTCACAGTCCACGGTGAAGCTGTTGGTGTCGTTGTTGTACTCCACGGGACAGACAAAGCATCTGTACCCCGACATCACGTAGGACAGCTGAGGGTAAAGAACAGGAAGCGAGGAGAACGCCGTGGCCATGCAGCCTAGACAGCCGGCTTCGAGGTGGCTGGTTCCCCTGGTCCCTCACATGCTGCTGGCTGCGAGCCCCACGCAAAGCCACAAGCTCACATGTATTTTATCTGGGTTTTTTTTTTTTTTGTATTGGAGACTGAACTTATGACCTCACATTGCCAGGCAGGCACTTGGCCTCCTGGACTCTCACACAAAGGTGCCAAATACACAGAACCTGAAAAAGCCCACAGGAGAGCTGAGAGAACGTGCGTAGAGAACTCTGAGGCGCCTCTTCCATTTCAGGGCTCCGGTCCACCCTGCCCAGGCTCTCTGAGCTCGGTATGGGGCATCATGGGGAAGCAGAGGTACAGCGAGAGGCGGCTGGACAGGAGGGAGAAGGTTGCCCAGCAGTTAAGACCAGGGCACAGGAACAGCCAGAGCACACTGGGGAAGGGGGCTGGGCCTGAGATCCAGGAGAGGGAATGGTGTGCTCCGAGGGACTGTAGCCACCCTGCTGGGAAGGAAATCCAGCCCCAGTGGCTCCTCTCACCTTGCCTGAGTTATTCTCAGGCGCCACTCACCCTGCCCGTGAGACACTGCGCGTGTGCTGGGGTGTCCTGTCTACCCCACGAGCATACACCAGCTGTGCACAGCCCCCTCCCCTCAGCGTCCAGACTGCTTGAGAACCAGCAGATGAAGGTCAGTCAGTGCCGCTTGCAACGCTCGTGCCCCTCTCCGGGACAAGGTCACTACTGGGTGGGACAGATTCCCTGCTCTCGGGACACACAGGCCTTTGGTGGTGGTGTGAGCCCTCTGTCCACTCTCCCACCCTCCAGGGGGCCACCACCTACCAGAAGGCCAAACACCACAGTAGCAAAGAAGCCCCCAATGAAGCCTTCCCAGGTCTTCTTTGGAGACAGCTGTGGACAGAGAGCACACACTCAGCCAAGGGTGCCACATCCCTCTGGCTTTGGGGAACGATGCTTACTTGTGAAAGACACCAGTATCATAAAACCCCCATTCTACTGGCCTCATCTTGATATTCCCCAAATGTGGTATGCTTATTCCCTGCTGTAGACCCTTCCGTTTTCTTTCTCTTTCTATTGCTTATTCAAATTATTTTAATTATAAAACTATACACTAATTTAATGACAAATCCCGATCGAAACCCCAAAATGTACATATAGCATATAAACATACTTCCTTCCCCCTTACTGAGGACTGAACCCAGGCACGCTCTCCACTGAGTTACATACCCAGCTTTCTTTATTTTTTGTTCTGAGACAGACACTTAATAAGGTGCCCAGGCTGGTTTTGAACTTGGAATCCTCCTGCCTCAGCCTCACAAAGATCTGGGATTACAGGCCTGTGCCACCATGGCCACTTAGATTTCTTTTCTTTTTTAAGACTACCTGTAGTTGTCAGTGTTTTCCTATGGCTTTTCTCTGTAATTGAGTTACTCCCAATCTGTCTCCAGGATGGCATGAAAACAGCCCAGTGCACACAGCTGGGTGTCTGCTGTCTGTCACACTCAGCTACGTGTGCAGAAAGCACTCCCGCACGGTGACACTTCCCCTCAGGGTAACTTACTCACCTTGATGAGTGGCGTCCTGCCAAAGAAAAAGCCAAACATATAGGCCATGATGTCATTGCAGATCACACAGGAAATGGGGACAATGAACCTAGGAAGTAAATCAAATGGGGTCAGCTTTCCTGGGAGGACAGACAAACAAGGCCTCTCACGGAACACGCCACAGCATACTTGGAACCCACCAAGGAACAAGCTAAAACGAAAACACCCGAAGATGCTGTCCTTAGCCCCGAACACACAGTGGGCATTCAGGTGTCTGTGGAGTGATTACTAAGTACTCAGAGGGAGCTCATGTGTTCTTTTTTCATCATAAAATGTGAACTGATAATACAAGTATAAACTATAAAAGGTAGAAAAAACCTGTTTTCTGTCTTTCCCTACACCTACCACTTCTAATCATTTCTAATTTCCCTTCTACTGGCTACCTACACATTGCTAAATGATATACTTTATATCTACTCCAAAACTAACTTTTTCATTATTTATTACTCTTTTCACTGGTGCACCCTGCCTTTCCACAAGACAGCCCTGGGAGCAACAGCCCGACAAGGATGGCCACCCTGGTGTCCCCACCCCTACTGGCCCTGTCATTTCCACCAGGAAGAGGCGGTCTTCCCACTGTGCCCTCTCTCTCCTCTCCTTGGTCCCTACCCGAGAGCTTTAGAAGTTCCCTTAGTACAGCTCACACAATAACTTCTGACTTCCAGCAACTACAGGCGGCAGCTCCTGACTTCTTGTTTGCGGGAGAGATTTAGATATCAGTACCCTCTGCTCACCCTCTCACCCGCTTATTTCTTGCTTCATCAAGGCTTCTGACGGAGCCTCTGCTCCCTAACTGTGGTAAAGTCTCCCTTAGAGATTTTAATGCCAGTGGCTATAAAACCAAGGCTGTGCTTGGCCCTGCATTTGAGGACTTAGCATGTGGCACTTTTAAGAAATACCCAGCATGGGCTGGGGTGTGGCTCAGTGGTTGAGTGGGAGAGTGAGGAGGAGGAGAAAATCAAATGCCAACCAAAAATCTAAAAAGGAGGGAAGGAATTGGTGTTTTCACAGGCCAATTTAAATGTATAATGCTTAAGGCTAACAGGTATTGGAGCTAATCTGTAGGTCTGCTTACCAGCTGACTCTTTAGGAGGTGGATGTTACTATAACCTGGCTCAGATCTGGAATGTGACTTCGTGCTTCCTCTCATTACCCCAGGAGGGCCTCTATCTTTCCACTGTGGTTATCCAGCTTTTTCACCAGCCTGCTGATGCCTATCAATGCTGACAGCATCCCATGGAAACCACGCATTGCTGAAGTAAACTCTACTCAGTAACAGTGTGGTACTCTCGGCACACTGCCAGCTTCTGTTTGCTGATATTTTATTTAGAACAGTTTATCTGTAACCATGAAGGAAGTCAGGTTCCCTCCTTATCAATTTTGGTCTAAGGTTTAGATAGCACTCAGCTTTTAACCAGCTAGTCCTGTTTCTTTTTCCAGGTGTGAAGTTCACACAATTTTTAAAGCTCTTCTAGGGCTACTGATCTATCCAAGTTCCTTCCTTTTTGACACTTAGTGTTTATCCTCCTAGGAAATCAGGCTCGTGTCCTCGGGGTTTTGCATCTCTTGCCATCAGCTGCACTGTTACTGACTAAGCAGAGATTCTCTGCACACGGGTCCAGGCCAGCAGCATCAGCACCACTGGGAATGTACTACAAAGTCAGGTCCTCAAGCCCCGCCCACCTGGACACACCGAATCAGCCACCTACATGGTACCCAGATTGCAGGCGACACTGTGGGCTCAAAGCAAGAAGCACTGGTTCGGAAGATCAAGTGAGGTTCTCCATCTACCTTGGCACAGAAACACCCACACGGGAAAAGGAAAGTTGTCCCACAGCCGTCACTCACCAGATCATTCCTTCAAACAGGTTGTGGATAACAAGATGTGACTGGGTCACAACGATCAGTAGCGTTACATGGGTCCAGCCAAACTGCAAAGGGAGAAAAATAAACTCTACCTATCAAGTTTACTCCAGTGTTTACTTCAAATAATCAACAACTACAGCAAGGTGCCGAGAAACACTACAGCAAACCAACGTTTGCTGCTGTGCCTCACTTATCAGAAGTGAGCAATTCAGAACATGACTCCGGGAGTAGTGATCTGTGTTTTCCCCAGGAAGAACCCATCAAAAGCAGGGACGCACAGCCCACTCGTGAGCCCCTCTGTGCTCTGAAGCTTGGGCACTCTTCATTCTCTTAGCAGAAAGATGTTCTTTTTTTTTTTCTTTTTCCAGCACCAGGGATCAAACTCACGACTGCCTGCTTGCAAGGCAAGCACTTAGCCGCTGAGCTAAATCCCCAGCCCCAGAAAGATGTTCTTAAGCTGAGGCAGGACAATGGTCAGCACAAGCTGACCAGCCAGACTGTAGTCTGCGGACACTGTCTGAAGCTGGAGGCCCTGGTGGAGACTGCTCAGGGAGACAGAGACAGCAGAGACTGGGGATGCAGGGCTGCATTCTTGCTTCCAGCTCTGAGTTTGAGGTGCACGCAGAACAGGCCACTCCCTGGAGTTCTGCAGGCCTCTGCATCAACCAAAATCCCACACACACAAACACACACTTTCCTTACCATATAGAACTGCAGCCGATAATGCTTCTTGACCAGGCTCAGTACAAACATGCAGAATCCTAGTGTGAGGGAGGAGGGAGGGGAGTGAGTCACACTCTGCATCACATCTCTGTGCTACTCCTTCCCTTCCGCTGAGTTAGGCAGTCCCTTCACTCAGCAGTGACCCAGTGCATAATTTCAAGGCCCAGAGGAGAAAAGCCAGTTACCCAGATAAGCAACCAGAGAGAAAAACCATCACAATAGCCCTGCTGGTTCAGCTCTAGATCACAGAAGAGCTAACTGAGACTCGGAACGATTAAGTTCCTCTTCCCCTGAGATCACAGAGTCCTTTCAAGTCAAATCCAGTAAAAGGTCCACCCCTCTGCAGTGTCTCCCAAGGCTGCCTCCTAAAATGACCCCATCAGGATTATTTTTCTCTGGTCACACTGTAGTCTTTGCCAATAAAACAGTCAGGACAGGATCATGCTCCACTGTCCTCCTGGGCTATCGGGAACTCAAGGACAGGTAGACAGATGGCTAGTCTCCACACCTGTACCCCCACCGTCTCCAATTCTCTTAGTAAAAATTACTACAGAGCCAGGTATGGAGGTACAACCTGTAATCCCAGCACTCTAGAAGGCTGAGGCGGGAGGATCACAAATTCAGGTCCAGCTGAGGCAATTTAGCAATTTAGTGAGGCCCTATCTCAAAATAAAAAATAAAACAGGGCTAGGGATGTAGCTCAGCATTATTGACCCCGGTACTCTATCCCCAATACTGCAAAAAAAAAAAAAAAAAAAAAAAAAGCAAGGGGCAAACAGCTGCCACAGCTCAACATAAAACAAAGCTTCCAACTTCACTGCATGGTCAGAATTAACATCACAAAGCTTTAATCAAGAAATTCCCCAACTCTCCCTGGTGGGAGGCTGGGGCAGGAGGATTACTGTGAGGTGGCGACCAGCCTAGGGTACACAGTGAGTTTAAGGCCAGCCTGAACTATGCCTGTTCTCAAGAAACAAACAAACAAAATTCCCCAATTCCTGTTCAACAAACACAAGCAATCAAGACATGAGAAATGGAGAGGCGTTCGATGCACACCTGTGAGGTAGAGGGTGAAGGAAATGAACCGGTGGTATTTACTGAGAATCCGCAAAGGCTCCTCTCTCTGGACCAGGGTGAAGAAGTAATCCGTCACCGTCTCACCATAGAAGAAATAGTTTACACACAGCAGAAAGTACCTGGAGGTGGAGACAAAAGAGCTAGGGAAGCACGCAGGCATTCCTCTAAGCGAGGCCACTACACAGCCCGGAGGACAGGACAGAGAGCAGGGGCCATTTCGCCTCCAGAGTCCAGGGCAATGTGCAAGGGACCTTGGCTCCTGCTCTGGGCCAACCCAGTGCGTAGAAGCCAATCCAGAAACCTGTGCCCTTTCTTTCACGCCTCCTGTCACACACTTGGGACTCAGTTTTCACCTTTTTAGTGGTGTCCCACATCTAACCAGAGGACCCTCCCAAACACACCCCTCGTGCCTTCATCCTCAGGCCCTGCAGGACTCTGTTCTCCCACCCCAGGTCCACTCCACTCTGCCTCCCGTCCTCTGACTCCTGCCTCTGGCTGGTCTGGAACACCCTCTCTGCTCAGACTTTTTCCTCCTACTCATCACTCAGACACTATTTCTCCATAGAACTTTCTAGGACCTAACACACTCGCTACCACCCTACATTTCCTTCTACAGCAGGATGTCACCCTTTTGGAAGCATGGCTCGCCAGGAGCCTTTCACCACATTACTCTGCACCTGTTCCCATCCTCCCCACTGGAGTCTTACATGGGGAGAAGCCTCCACGATGCTTCAGAGTACAGGGCCATGCAAACCCCAGACCCTCAGCATAAATCCCAAGGCAGGGAAGAAAATGGAAAACTTCTCATTCCCATTTTTATAAATTACGAAGTTTAAAAATTCCCTTATTAGGCTTATTTTGTCATATGGGAGAAAAGCTGCTTTGGAAAGTGACCACAGCCAGGATTTATAACAAAATTTATAACATAGCTGTCCAGCTACAAAGTAGCCATAAGAGAGACCTGCTCCACCTGGAGCCGGGAGGCACCCTGCGTGGTTGGGTGATGGGGAGCATTGTAAAAGGTACCTGGCCAAGTCTGAGCATGTCAGATCCCTGGGGCACAAAACACTGTCCAGCCTGCTAAGTCACGAGTTGTCCCTGAGTCTCTGTGTCAAGCACAGTGCCGCGGGAAGGTCTCTGTTGCCCCAAGTCCCCTCAGCACTGTGCAGTGATCTGTTCAAATGTCGCCACCTGAAAACAGTGTGGCCTAGGAAACAGCTCAGGAAGGAGTCTCAGACCTCATGGAAGTCAGGGCTCTTCACCTGTTTTTGCTTTAAGGCAGCTAAGTCCTTTTTGAGGGAAAGGAGAAAGCAGAGTTTCTCCGGAGGAGCCCACATCTGCGCTTTTAGTCTCATGCTGACCACATGGGCACCCAGGGCGCCTCCAAGCAACTAAGACTCCCACCCTACGGTCTAAAAATGATGGCTGAATTTCAACCAGGTATTTCAGCAATGAGGAAACCACGTTCTAGTGACAGAAACCCCAGCACCAAAACCTGACAACTCCAGACAACTCTAGCGGGATGCCAGGGCAATAGAACGTGCAAAACCTACACATGTATCACAGGCAAAATCAGACACCACCCTTACCCTGCAAGTATACAGATTTCAAAGTACTAAGGCTCACTGCTCACAGATGCATCCCCTCTGGGTTCTTCTGCGCAAGATCCCTGCCTCCTAGTAAGTACTGGAGACCACCCCCGCCCATCAAAGGCAGCCACACAGTCTGGCCTGCTCAGGGCACCGCACAAGTCTGTGCAACCACTACACCTCTGCCTGCCTTCCTGCAAATACCTACCACAGAACACGCACCACGACAGGGAGCAAGGCAGCTTACCAGCTGAGGGTCCTGAACCAGGGCAGGTCATAGGAGTGGTAGACATTGTAGCCGATTGTGATGATCTCGTGGAAACACTTAATCTGAACACACATCACCTGCGAGACACAGAGGAATCAGAGCCACTTTCTCATGATCTTTGGCCATAAGCCTTTCGGAAAAACCATTCCATGTAAGGAAAATTTCAGTCCTACTCTCAAGTTGTACTCTCCTCCACCTTTTTTCTCTTTTGTACCATCCCCATGGCAATGGAGTCTTTTATATCACAGAGACCTGATCAAATCTCTCACAACAAAATACACAGCCCTATATCCCTATTGTTTATCCTAGAACCTCCCAAGACTCAAGCAACACCCCCCCCCTTTTTTACTGGAGACTGAACTCAGGGACTTTGCACTGACCTATATCCCAGCCCTTTCTAAACTTTTTAAAATTTTAGGGGTTCCCCCAAGTTGCCCAAGCTGGGCTTGAACTTGCAGTCCTCTTTGCCTCAGCCTGCCGGAGTGCTGGGATTACAGGCATGCACCACCTTTCCCCCTTGAGACTCTGGATACACATATGTGAAAGGCCAACTACTCTGCTCAGCAGTCACTGAAGTGGCCTGGCCCTGTCCACGACAGTGGGAAGATCCAGGGCAGCTCTGAGGACAGTGACTTCCTAATGAAAGCTCTAAACCCATGAGTGAGACCCCAGAGAACAAGACACAAAACCTGGAGTCAACAAAGACACAGGCAGGGTCACAGCTTAATTAAACATCTGGAATAACAAATTCAATTTTAAAAACAAAGAAACCTCCTTCACCATAAACAACTGGCCTACATTGGTTGGCTACTGCAAGATGAGAAGTCACAGACGGCCTGAGGCCGATATGCCCAGAGGGGACAGGTGCCCTTGGATTCCCACACCTTGGCTCTGAGGACAGCCAGTCCCACGGGAGATACTAAGGCAAAAGAAAACCAGCAGGCAGACAGGCACTTACGATCATCATTAAAACCATTGGTCCCAGGTATATGATGATGAAGAAAAATGTGATCATGGCCAAAGTCAGTATGCCTCTTACCCACCAGTTCTTCCATCTGCAGAGAAAACAGTTAGCAGCCTAAAGAACAGAAGCAGACCCGGAAGCAGCCCTGAGGGACCAGGCTCTTTCTGAGCCTGCAAGTCCCCACTGCAGTCCTTCCCAGAACCCCACCTCCCAGGACAGAGGCACTGAAGCGGACTGAAGGGAGCAGAACCCCAGCACCGAGGCCCCCATCCCGCCAAACTCACAGCTGCTCCCCCGTTCCAGAAATACAGCCCTGGGGAAAACCACAGCCCAGAGAGATGGAGCACCCTCTGCTTCCGCCTACTCAGAGGGTTCCCCTGGCAGTGCAGGTCTGACCAGGAGACCAGGAGCATGGCTCAGGGATTCCACACTGCACTGCCTCATCTGATAATACATGTTAGGCAAAGACAACAACAGCCATCACAGATATGTTTAAACATTTTGCACATATTAACTTATTTGACACGCAACACAACTGGCTTTCAAAATTTGTCTTTTTTTTTTCATAACGGGAATCGAAACCATGATTGCACGCTTGCAAGGCAGGCACTAATGCCGCTGAGCTAAATCCCCAGCCCCGAAAATTTGTCATTTTAAATAGGCTTGTCATTCACATAACATCTGTAAAACCTCACTGAGGACATGGAGGCATAGGTTACACCTCTAGCAAATGGTGAGACTGGGATTTGAATAGGGGTCTGCTCCCCACTCCCTGCCCTTCACTCTACACAACACAGCCTCCCAAAGGGCTGGCTGGCAGGACATTCAAGGTCTCATCACACAGCAGGTGTGCGAAGGGCACCCTGGGTTCACCTAAGCCCAGATGCTGCCCGGTTCTTCCAGGAGAACTGAAGGAACCGTTCCCAGGGTATGTCTGCAGAAGAGTGAGAACCAAACCTTGAACCAGAAATCCTAAGACCCTAAGCCTTCTGTGCACTTGGCCACAGCGCAAGGTCCCACCAGCACTTGCATCATGAAGCCACGTTACCGGGAAGACAAGTTGGAAAGGGCCCTGTTGAGGACCTCCGGGGTGTTGTCCACGGGGGCGGGCGGGGCAGCCAGGTCCGTTCGGCTCTCACTGTCTGACGCAGTCTCGCCATCAGCCTTCGATTCTGACTCCAACTCCTACATGGCAAAACACAGAAGGGGAAAAGGTCAAAAACGCCAGGTAGATTATTAGAAAGCCTATGCCTATCCAGAGAGATCTGTGGGACAAGACTCCAAACAGGGCCGGCACAGTAAGAGGACAGGACAGACACAGAGCTCTGACAGGTGCCAAGGCGGCTGCCTCCACTGAAGGAGAGGTGCGCATGCGCACCACGCTGTTCCATTCTACTGGGCAGGGACGAGGAGGAGAGAGGAACAGCTCATCTGCAGCCACAGAATGCAGAAAGAGGACTGTGCCTGGGCGCCGGCCGTCAACACTCCAGTCACCCTACTGTCTCTCCACCAACTCTGGCACGGCTCAGGGTCGGCCTCCCGCTCTGATGGGACACGCTGTGGAGAGCACTCTCAGAGAGAGTCAGGCCACAGGCTCTGGCCCCATGGCCCCATTAATGCCACCATGCCTTAAAATTCAGATCATGACCCCACAGAGCAGCAAATTAATGTTTTATCACCTCTTAGAAGATTTTGTTAAATATGTATATAAACACAGGAACAGTCACATTATTTTGCTTTGAGGCAGTCTCCCTATGCAGTTCTGGCTGGTCTTGAACTCACTATGTAGCTGAAGCCAGCCTACAACTTTCATGGCAATTCTCCTGCCTCAGCTTCCTGAGTGCTGGGATTACAAGTGCGTGCCACCATGCCAGGTCACAATTTTTAAAAAGAACTAAATCTGAATGTTCCTGATGACTAACACGACACTGAGTACTGCTTCATGTTTGTTAGCCATTTCAGTATCTTCTATCTTAAAGCATCTGTCAAACAACTGGTTGTTTCTCTTTTTACTAATCTGCACACTTCTTAGGTGTTCACTAACACACTTTCCCAGCCTCGTGCCCTCCTAACCTCAGGCTTCCTCCCTCTCTGCACCAGCCATGATGGGGACTTTCTTTTTTGTTTGTTTGTTTGTTTATTTTGTTTTATCAGTACCAGGGATTGAACTCACAACCACACGCTTGCAAGGCAGGTGCTTATGCCGCTAAATCTCCAGCCCCAATGGGGACTCTCTTCCAACTGTGTCCCCGAGGATCACAACTCCCTACAGACAGGACCACAACCTCCTGCTCTCATCATTCCTCCAGCCTGGCTGCAGCACACACTGACTGATGCTGGCTGACAGATGGAAGGAAAGAGGTGAGCAGTGAATCCCAAGGTGTGGTGAGCACAGGCCCAGCCTTGTGACGAGATCCTAACAGAGAGGCGTGAGCCACAGCTGACACTGCTGGCTTCAGGAAAAGGCTGGTACAGATGGTCTCCCAGCAGGGCTGGAAGGCTCTGGACAAGTGACCCGGGTGCCGCATGAAAGGAGCCGAAAGAGAACCCAGCTCTACTAGGAGCTGGATCCTACTCCACCTACCTGGAGACTCTGAAACACAGCCACCCATCCAGAACTGCCCTCTCCATGAGGACAGACAAAGACCAGGCGTACAGAGCAGCTGTCAAGGTGAGACTGTGCAGGAAAAGCTACTCTGCCCTCAAACCTCAAGGTCAAAATGCATGTGTGGGCCCAGCGGGGTTCCCAGGGCTACACCCCAGGCACATCTGGAAGCCACAGGAACTGAGCGGTAGAGAGGCAGAGGGCCCCGACTCCCACGCAGAAGCCGAGCACGGGTTATTTTTAACTTCTCTTTCCTGTTGTCAAGGAGACTCACAAAGGCTGCTGGGTCCTCAGCAGAAAGAGCAGGCAGCCTGGCTGCCTGTATCCAGAGGGAAGAGAGGTACCCTGAGGCACAAAGTACAAGGAGGACACAGAGACCTCTTATGAGGACACTGCTGGCTGCTGCTATTACCAAGACTTTAGGGGGACAGCGATGAACAAGCAGAAAATGCCCAAGAGTCCAAGGGAGCAAACCTGAGAGATGCACCTCCTAGGTTTCCCCTGCCTCTGAGTGAGTGATTTCACACTCCCGGGGCCCACCCAGGCCCTCTGAGTGCGTCTTCAGAGCCAATAAATACCTGGAGGATTCCATCAGGCCTGAGAGACCACCACCTGCCCGTCAGCTTCAACACAGCCAAACAGGAAGAAAGGGTGGGGAAGTGCAGCCAGGGAGGGGGCAAGCCTGCTGGCTCCCCAGTGCTGGCCAGGAGGGGAGACAATGTAAGAGACCCTGGAGGCCCATGAGCAGGGGACTTCCTCCTGAGGAAGCAGCAACTTCTGATGCTTGGGTGAAGGAAGCTGACACTGGGAGCAGCTCCCACAGTGGACCTGTATGGGGCAGGCATCTGGAACTCAGTTTCTGTCCAGAAGAAAAGCAGCACACACTAGACATAAATTGGAAGTACTGAGCATCTATTGATCTCCTCCTCTTTGGGATGAGAAAGCAGGCTGATGTCCAAATAATGTTGCTGGAGGAGGCAGCAGCAGCCACTCACAGAGGCAGGGCCCAGGCCTGGCTCAAAGCTCATCGCCCTCAGTACAGGCCTAGCTCCAGTCTTCCTGATGGGGAAAGGACTGCCTATCTCACGCGTTGCTGAGGAGATGAAAACAGTGTGAAGGAGGAGGTCTATGTCTCCTCCTGCCACAGCACACAGGACAGGAGCCTGATACCCTTTGGCACCTATCCCAGGGACCTGCGCACCTTCCCACGGAGGGTGGGCTGCAGGAAGAACAGGGGTCCTGGCCCAGCTGGCCTCGGGTACTGTCTGAGCTCAGCATTTGCCTGCCAGGCTTCCCAACTCAACAGTGACCCCTCCTCAGGCTGACGTATGAAGTGGCGACTGAGACGTGCAAGGGCCTGCAGAAGCAACAGTGCACTCTCTCCCAGGTGGGGTGAAGCAGCCTAGTGTAGACAGCCAGGAAGAAGTAAGCATTAAAACTTATTTCTACTTGCTCTCATCTTTTTTCCCCAGTCTGCCCTATAAGGGATGCATGAGCACACACACACCTCAGTATCTATGAACTACAGCCTTTGGGAGAAGCATCACACATGTCAGGGCCCCTGGGTGCCTCCCCGCCATCACACTGGGCAGTGCCTGGAACACAGCAGGCACCCAAAGATTTGCTGCGCGAATGCGCTAATTAATTCTACTTGATCTATTGTGGGCCCAATGGTCCAGAATACACTGTGAGGGTAACACACCCACTCCAGCTTCCAGCTCCTGTGCCCAGCACAGGCTTTGTGCACCCTGCTCGGCAGCATCCCTGGCAGCAGGGCCGGGCAGGTGCCCACTGCGCACTCCTCCCCTGATGCACATGGGGTGGAAGGACCCACTTCTGGGATCAGGGAGAGGCTGCCCTGCTTCTGCAGACTGTCTTGGCCTACTCCCAGGCACACCTGCTCCTTCCTTCCTTCGTTTGAATCCCAAGGGCTCAGAACTGAGGCTGAGAGGAGTACTGACTCCATCTCAACCAGCGCCCATCCTGCAGCAGTGGCTCAGCCATTTCCGGGGGTGGTGATGCTGGTGTAAACAGGAAATAAGAGCTTTGCTCTAAAAGGAAGTGTAGGGCTCCTCCTAAGGCACACAGATCCTCTAGGGAAAGGCAGAAGCACTTAGCTATTGGCACACGGACTATCCTGGATACCAGTAAGAGTTAGCAGCACTTTGGGGAAATTTATACCCAGCTTTCCAGGGCCCCTCAGCCACCACCCCATCCAACTGGACCTGGGGCTCAGAACTGCAAGAAAGCCTGCCTTCAAGAGGTGGAGGAGAAAATGAGGGAAGGCCACCTCCAACCCACATGTCCCACAGAAGGGCCAGGGATGACCTCATCACTGACCCCGCTGGGACAAGAAGTCCTCGCCACACTCAGTCTCTGCAGCTTCTGACGATTCCGTCACCAGCCTCCACCTCTGGGCGGCACACCTCCTGCTTTCCTGCCTGCTCTCTGGTCAGGCCACCTGTGACAGCCCTTCCTTCACTGGCCTTCTCTTCCTCAGCTTGCCCTTCGCTTCAGCCTCCCTTGGGCACTGGTTCCTGGCTCTCCTACTCACCACTGCCCACTCTTCCTGAGTAATCTCATTCATGCTCATGCCTCCCCTATCCCTCACCCTCGTGGCGGGATGGGGGTGTTGAGGCTCCAACCTAGAGCTGGGCACGGATCAGGCAAGTGCTCTGTCCTGAGCTACACCCCAGCCTCTGACTGTCTGGCCCTGAGCTGAAGACTCACACACCAGGTGCCTCCTAGATGTCTCCACAGACACCTGAGATGAGATTCTCTGTGTGTTTCTCTCCAAACTTATCATTTCCTCCTCAACTCACCTCTTCCTGCTACGGGTCCTATCTTATCAAATAATCACCTTATCCTTGGAATCTTCAAGTGAAAACTGTGGCATCACCCTCAGTGGCTCCTCCCTCAGCCCCGAGACCTTTCCGTCCTAAACCCGTTAATGCTACCTCCGAAACCTCGTCTGTAGGAGACTGGATAATGAGGATACAGGCTGAATTCACTTTTTCTTTGAGCACAAAGGAGAAAACCAGCAAGCTGTGCCCCTGTGGCAACACACAGGCATGTTGGCTCCTCATGGGTTCCAGGGGAGGCCCCACAGCTGAGATCCAGTGTACCCTGGGCGTATGCCACAGACAACAGGAAGCAGGAACCCTTCTGCTCTCGAACTGCTTGCTCCCCTATCTAAATGAATACAAGCAAGGTGAGCCAAATGCTCAGAGCTTTGTCCACTAAAGGCACGAGTCCCCTGGCCTCTCTTTCAAAATTACCTCTGTGTCCTGTCTTTAATCTCTGTTTGCTCCTCTGGTTAGGCGTTCCTAGCAGGGTGGTTTCCTGCACACGTCCAGCCCACCCACTTCTTCCCATCACCTCTTCACCAACATCCTCTCTCTTCCAAGTGACTGCAACGGCCCTGATGACCACCTGGCCTCAGCCACCCAGTGCCCCAGAACAGGTCTCAGCGTTTCCAAGTCGAGTGCAGGGCCCTTGGCACCAGTCTCACCCACCCTTCCAGCTGTCTCTCACAGCCCTGAACCCTCACACTCGGGAGGCAGAGGCAGAAGGCCAGCAC